TGACCTTCAACTATTTTTCCTTGAGATTCAATCAATAATTATAACAAGCTCTTTCGATTACTTTAGAGAAAATATATTGATTCAAATCAACAAAACTATGCAATAATATTCACCAATTTATTACTCTTTCAATTAAATAAAATAATGAACATAGTTGCAATTTAATTCAAACTCGCATAACAAGTTCAAGCATAAGAACGAAAAATCAAAATCCCAACAAATTCATAATACACCATGTTTGTCAAATACCGTCTATGTATCTACTCCATGGAAGAGAATAAAACTATTAAGAGCAAAGATGAAAAAGAAGACATAGAAATCAAAGTTTGAATCCCAACTTCCATTTTGAATTCGAGTAGTGTACTTCGTGTCCCCCCTTCTCTTCTTCAAAACCTAGCTCTTCTTTGCTCCTTTTTTTTTTGATACCCTAGCCTTTGGGAAAGCTCCTGCATCACATAACATAGGGTTCCCTATGAAATTCCAAAAAAAAACCTTTCTTTAGTGATTTCATGCCGCTACGCCGTGCGGGCAAGCCGTTGAGAGCCCAAGCGCGCAACTGGCGAGCAGAGAGGCAGTAGCTTCAAAACCCACCGCACATCCGCGCTACCAGGAGTGTCATACCCCGAGGCTACCCCTTTGATGTAACACAGGACCTAGGATCACGAGTGACCCCAAGCTAACCCTTTGTCTGGCATATATCAAGCATATTGAGAATCACTGAATAAGACATACACTATGCGGAAGCTAAAACATGGATAACTGAAAGTGGGGAATATCTAGCTAGTCTGAATGTATCAAACATACTAAGAGTTTAATAACAACTGAAAGATAAACTTTACAATTCAAGTTGATTTTACTACTATGTCTGAAAAGCCTCTAACTGAGTTGAGTTGCAGGGACATGCCCCCCAGCTAACTCTAACAAAATTGAATACTGAATAATAAGACTAAATTAAAAGTATGTCTATTGTCCTCAAGGTATGAGGACTCACCATTCAAGCTGCTGAAATGTGGACCTACAATTGATCCTAAGCGCGATCTGGATGCTGAGTACCTGAACTTACATCATGAAAGGATGTAGCGCAGAGTATGTGTTAGTACTTGGAATGTACTGAGCATGCATAATATAGATACTAAGATGAACAAATATATAGAAGTTGAACAAAGTATAACTGAGCAATGGCATAAACTGAGTAAGAAAGTAAATACTGAAACATAACTGAAAAGCTAAACTGAATGTAATGACCAAGTACTAATCATAAAAATACATGCTGAGCTGAATGCTGAAGTACATACTAAAAACCTGACCAAATGCACTAAGAGTCTGATTTTGGGAGGTACTATTAAAAAACATAAACCACGTGAGCTAAACGTGGAGTCGGATGTATACGCCCCATCGAGAGGACCCAATATACCTTGCCAGGGGTATAAAGGCATGCCTGGCGTGATCACTAAATCTGATGCCAAAAAGAGGGGACTTATAATCCTACAGGGGCGCATAGTTCTGGGACTATGAGGGTATGCTGAACCCTAGTCCAACTCGGTGCTAAGTCTACTCCCAATTGAATATGTATATGACTGAAATATTGAATGGCTAAAAATATTAACATACAATCTGAGAATATAACACTTATATACTGATAATGTGACATTCAAAATCTGAAGCATGATTATCTATTTAACTGCCCAAACAAATATAATTAATGAACTAAGAGAATTATACAAATTAGGGTTTTGAGTTTCATACAAGGAATTAAGCAAAGTTTCCAAGAAAACCTTATATTTAGAATATGGATTATAGAGAAGCTAAAATCACAATAAATTCCTAAGATTTTACAAACCCTAGGTCTAAACAAGATATGGAGAATCAAGAAAACTGACTGAATTCTATGGACCTAGTTGATGAAAGGAACCCACTAATGAAATGCCACATACTTGGTGACGAAATCTATGGAGAAATCCTTCGTTTTCGGGGGTAAACTTGAAAAGAACCTTCTGCTAGTTCTTGAGGGGCTGGTTGACTTTCCTCTTCTTTTTGGCTCTAATTTTGATGAATTTTGTAAATAACGGTTTTTGATAGGTTCTAACTAGATCATCAGGCTTAAACTGAGTAAAACGACGTCGTTTAGGTGCCCAATGCACATAGGAAAAGAAAAAAATGACCCTAACTTAAAAGTTGATGAGGCCCTTCCACGGAGCCACTGACGAACCATCAAAGGGACCACAGCCCGTCAAGTGGGTCTTGGTTCATGGGCCAATGTCTACTAGTTCTGGAACTCCCATCTACGGTCCAATTCACAGACCGTGTGAAGAACTACGGACCGTGAAGGTCACTGTGGTTCTTCACTTGGGGCTAGAGGTGTGTTGTCTCAAGATGATGGACCTATCCACGGCCCGTCATCGAGACCATGGCTTGTGGTGGGCTCTGTGGTTTTATGTCAGAGCCTTGTTAGCCCTGCCTTGCTTCTATGAGCCATCCCACGGCTCGTGTGGGGATCCATATCCTGTGAAGGGGCTCGTTATCCTCCAAAATTTTCTATTTCTACCCCTGTTTCTGTTAAATAGTCCAAGTCTGATTTCTGAGGTGTTACAATATCTCCCCTTGGGAACATTCATCCTAGAATGAAGTCAAAATAAGCTGAGTAGGGAGGGAATGAGCTGCAATCCCTACCACTAAGTACTAGAAATTGATATATGACTGAACTGAGTTCCAAAAACATGCAAATATGTTGAAATGCAAGAACAACTGAAGGAACAAGATACTAAGACTGAATTCACGCAAGGGTAACTGAAAGACTGGAGAGAGGAACTATTACCTGAAGCTGAAACAAAATCGGAAGGAAAGAGGTGAGGCTGCTTCCCAAGTAGCTCTTTTTATGGACTGACTCCTCCACAAAACCTTCACTGAAGCGACTTCTTTATTTCTCAACCTACAAACCTGACGGTCAAGAATTTCAACCTACAGTTCTTCATAAGTGAGACTATCATTCACAGCCACACTCTCTAATGGTACAATTGATGATGAATCACCCACACACTTCTTCAACAAGGAAATGTGAAAGACTGGATGAACCCCTGCTAGTTCTGCTGGCGACACTAACTCAAAAGCCACATTACCAACCCTTTTCAGGATTCTATAAGGACCTACATATCTTGGACTGAGCTTCCATTTCTTGCCAAATCTCAGCGCCCCCTTAATAGATGACACCTTCAAGAAAACCCAATCATCGATTTGGAACTCTAAGTCCCTTTTCCTCCCATGTTCATAGGAATTCTGATGACTCTGAGCTGCCTTTAGTCTATCTTTGATGAGTTAAACTTTCTCCATAGCCTCATGAATCGAATCTGGCCCTATCAAGGATGTTCACCTACTTTAAGCCAACCAATCGGTAACCTGCTTCTACGCCCATATAGTGCCTCATACGGGGCCATCTGAATACTGGAATGAAAGATATTATTATAGGGAAACTCTATGAGAGGTACGTTATCTTCCTAGCTACCCTTGAAATCGATCACACAAGCTCTCAACATGTCCTCTAAGATCTTAATAGTACGCTCTGCCTGACCATTTATCTGTGGATGAAATGTTGTACTGAAATTTACCTGAGTACCAAGACCTTTCTGAAATGATTTCTAGAAATGAGAGGTAAACTGAGGGCCTCTATCTGAGATGATAGACAAGGGAACCCCATGCAGCCTGACTATCTCATGGATGTAGAGTTTGGCGTAGTCCTCCGCTAAATCTGTAGTTTTGATCGCCAAGAAGTGATCGGACTTAGTAACTCTGTCCATCATTACCCAAATGGATTCATGTTGTCTACGAGTACGAGGTAAACCCGTTATGAAGTCCATGTTTATCACTTCCCACTTCCATGTAGGAATGTTAATCTCCTGAGTCATACCTCCTGGTTTTTGATGTTCTACGTTAACTTGTTGACAATTAGGACACGTAACCACAAAGTCTGTTATGTCTCTATTCATGCAGCTCCACCAAAACACTTCCTGTAGATCACGATACATCTTAGTTGCATCTGGATGAATGGAATACCTAGATTAATGAGCTTCTGTAAGGATTTGCTGCCTCAACTCACCCACATTAGGAACACATACGTGACCCTGGTAATGACGTACACCATCTCCCCCTTGGGAGAAAACCTCAACTTTCTACTAATGAACCACACCTTTCAACAAGTAATATAGGATCACAATCCTGTTTTTCCATAACCTCCGCTACTAATGAAGATTTTGGTCCATTATGAACTACTACTCCACCATCTGATGTGTCTGTAAGGCAAACTCTTAAGCGACCAAGCTGGTGAACATCTTTGGATAGCTCTTTCCTTTCTTCCTCAACATGTGCTACACTACCCATGGACAACCTGCTGAGAGCATCGACCACTACATTGGCCTTACCGGGATGGTAGAGCACATTTATGTAATAATTCTTGAGGAATTCAAGCCATCTCCTCCGATGAAGATTCAACTCTTTCTGGGTGAACACATAGTGGAGGCTCTTATGATCTGTGAATACATCAACATGAACACCATACAAGTAGTGTCACCAAGTCTTTAGGGAAAGTACTACAGTTCAAGCTCGATGTCATGAGTTGGGTAGTTCTTCTCATGGACCTTAAGCTTACTAGAAACATAAGCTATGACCTTACCTCGCTGCATTAACACACAACCTACACTGACGCTAGATGAATCACAATAAATCACATAACCGTTTGAACCATTTCGTAGAGTCAAGGCCGGAGTTGTAGTCAACCTAGTCTTCAGTTCTGAGAAGCTCTTCTCACACTCATCTCACCACTAAAATTTGACCTTTTTCTGAGTCAACTTGGTCAATGGGGAAACTATGGATGAAAATCCTTCAACAAATGTCATGTAATAACCGAAAAAATCTAAGAAACTCCTGTTATCAATTGGAGAGGTGAGTCTGGGTTAGTGCTGTACTGCCTTAATAATATGTGGATCAACTTGGATCCCTTCGCTGGATACCACATGACCAAGGAAAGCGACATACTGTAACCAGAATTCACATTTGCTAAACTTAGCGAATAGCTGGCGATCTTTGAGTGTTTGCAGAATAACTCTCACATGATTCACGTGCTCCTCTTCACTCTGAGAATAACTTAAGATATCATCAATAAAGATGATAATGAACAAGCCCAAATACTGTTTGAACACCCTGTTCATCAAGTCCATGAAAGCTGCAAGAGCATTTGTTAGTCCAAAAAAATAACTACAAATTCATAATGACCATACCGAGTTCTGAAAGTTGTCTTTGAAATGTCACTATCCCTGACTTTGAGCTAATGATAGCCGGATCTGAGGTCTATCTTAGAAAAGTAACTAGCATCCAGAAGTTGGTCAAACAAGACATCAATCCTGGGGATGAGATACTTATTCTTGATTGTGACTTTGTTCAACTGCCGATAGTCAGTGCACATTCTGAAAGAACCATCTTTCGTTTTCACGAATAATACTGGAGCACCCCATGGAGAATTACTAGGTTTGATTAATCCCTTAACTAGAAGGTCTTTCAACCGCTCTTTCAATTCCTTAAGCTCAGCTGGAGCCATTCTGTAATGAGGAATCAAAATGGGATGGGTATCTGGAAGGAGATCTATTCCAAAGTTGATTTCCCTTTCGTGAGGAAATCCAGGAAGATATTTTGGAAAAACTTCTGGAAACTTATTTACTACTGGGACTAACTCAAGAGTTGGGGCTTCAGAGTTTGAATCCTTAACTCGAAAAAGATGACACATATACCCTTTGGAAATTATTTTTCTGGCCTTAAGGTAAGAGATAAATCGACCCATAGGCATTGAGCTACTACCCTTACACTCTAAGACTAGCTCATTTGAAAACTGAAATCGAACCATTCTGGTTCTACAATCGACTGAAGCATAACAAGAATATAACCAATCCATTCCTAGAATGATATCAAAATCTACCATTTCTAACTCTACAAGATCTACCGAGGTGAATTTATGAGAGACCGTGACAGGGCAATTTCTGTTTACCCGTCTAGCTATAACTGGGTAACCAACTGGAGTAAAGACTGAGAAGGGTTCTGAAAGAGTTTCTGGACTGAGACCGAAGTTTACTGCTATATAGGGAGTTAGAAAAAATAGTGTAGCCCCTAGGTCTAACAATGCATAAATATCTAAATGAAAGACTCGTAACATACCAGTGACCACATCAAGAGAATTTCCTGGTCCTGGCAAGCCTGGAGAGCATACAACATGTTCTGGCGCTGACTGCCACCTGTACAAGATGAAGCACCCTGCTGAGTTGGGCGACCTGTTGGTGCTGCTTGAGCTGTAGACTGAGCCCTATTATTGTTACCTCCTTTCCCCTGCCTGCAAGAAGTACAATCCTTCAACTTATGGAAAGACTTACCACACCTAAAACACCCTTCCCTGCCTGCAAGATACTCTCTCGGATGGTTCTTACCACACTTTGGGCAAGTTGGAAATGTCTGATTACCTGAAGCACTACCTGTGACTTAGAGCCTAATGCTATCCCTTTATGTTCCTGTCGAAACCTAGGGGATGGAACACTAGCTGATAAAGGTGCTGGGGCTATTGACCTCTGTTGAAACTATGAGCGATTTCCACCACTCGACTTTTGCTGCGATTATTGATAGTTTCATGTTCTAGCCATTTTGTTATCCTTAGCTAATTCCCTAAGCTTATCTCCCTCAACTTGCTGAGCATAAGTCATTAGTCTGGCGATATCCATATTCCCTAGAATCATAACATTCTTGCACTCAGTCTTCACCAGATCGGATACCCCAAACAAGATACCCCAAACAAGAACTTACTCATTTGTGCCCTAGGATCGGCAACCATGTGTGGAGCATTCCTAGAGAGCTGGGTGAATTTCAGCCCGTACTCTTTGACCGACATATAGCCCTACTTCAAGTTCATAAACTCTTGTGCCTTAGCTTCTCTCTATTCCCTTGGGAAGAACCTGTCTAGAAAAGCTCTAGTAAAGCAATCCCAAGTCACATGAGCTGCATCCGCACCCCTATTTTATTTCCACTGAGTGAACCAGATATGAGCCATATCCTTAAGTTGGTAGAATGCCAACTAAACCTTCTCAGTTCCAGTCACTTGCATTACTCCAAGAATTTTCTTAACCTCATCAATAAAGTTTTGTGGGTCCTCACCAATCTTCGACCCCAGAAACTCTGGCAGATTCATCCGAACAAAATCTTGAACCCTAGCTGCAGCTGATCTACCATTTGTGTTAGTAGGAACTAGGACCTGCTGATTATTCTGATTGGCCACACTCTGAGGCAAGAGTTGGATCATATTCCAAAATTCTCCATTCGTAACCTCATTGTTTGAGACTGGAGGAATTGCCTTAGCATTGTGTGCATTATCATTCCATGCATTAGCTCTATAAGGAGGCATGATCTGAAACGCATAATGACGGATTAGAAAAGAGAAGTTGGATCACACCCACACACAATAAAAATAACGAAGGAAGTGAAGGTTTTCTTAAAACACTTCGTAGCCTCCCTCTCATAGATGTGGTGCACTTTACACCCATGAAAAAGACTCTACTTAGTGAAGCTTTCAGATATCCTAGGACTCTTGAACCTAATGCTCTGATACCACGTTTTTCACGCCCCGAGGCTATCCCCTTGACGTAAAGTGACCCCAAGCTAACCCTGTGGTTGGCATATATCAAGCATACTAAGAATCACTGAATAAGACATATACTATGCAGAAACTAAACCATGGATAACTAAAAGTGGGGAATACCCAGCTAGTCTGAATGTATCAAACATACTAAGAGCTTAATAACAACTGAAAGATAAACTTCACAATTCAAGCTGATTCTACTACTATGTCTGAAAAGCCTGTAACTTGGTTGAGTTGATGGGACATACCCCCAAGCTAACTCTAACAAAACTGAAAACTGAATAACAAGACTAATATAAAAAACATGTCTATTGTCCTCGAAGTATGAGGACTCACCACTGAAGCTGCTGAAATGTGGATCGAGAATCGATCTAAGCGCGATCTGGATGCTGAGTACCTGAACCTACATCATTTCATGATGTAGCACAGTGTATGCGTCAGTACTTGGAATGTACTTATCATGAATGATATAAATACTAAGCTGAATATATATATATATATATATATATATATATATATATATAAAACATAACTGAGAAATGACATAAAATGAGTAAAAATGTTAATATTGAAACATAACTGAAATGCTAAACTGAATGCAATGACCAAGTACTAATCGTGAAGATACATGTTGACCTGCATGCTAAAGTACATACTGAAAACCTTGCCAAATGCACTAAAAGTCTGACTGTGGAAACTACTATTAACCGACATTAACCACGTGAGCTAAACGTGGAGTCCGATGTATACGCCCCATCGAGAGGACCCAATATACCTTGCCAGGGGTATAAAGGCATGCCTGGCGTGATCACTAATTCTGATGCCCAACATAGGGGACTTATAATCCTACGGGAGCACGTAGTTGTGGTACTATGAGGGTATGATGAACCCTAGTCCAACTCGGTGCTAAGTCTACTCCCAACTGAATATGTATATGACTGAAATGTGACTGAAATACTAAATAGCTTAAAATACTGACATGCAATCTGAGAATGCAACATTTATATACTGATAATGTGACATTCGAAATCTGGAGCATGATTATCTGTTTAATTGGCCTAGCAAGTATATTTCATTAAGTAATAGAATTTATGAAAACTAGGGTTCTGAGTTTCATACAAGGAATTAAGCAACGTTTCCAAGAAAACCTGATATTTAGACTATGGATATTATTGCAACTAAAATCACAATAAATTCCTTAGATTTTACAAACCCTAGATCTAAACAAGATTTGGAGAATCAATAAAACTAACTAAATTCTAGGGACCTAGTGGATGAAAGGAACCCACCAGTGAAATCCCACATACCTGGTGACAAAATCTACGGAGAAATCCTTCGATTTTGGGGCTGAAACTTGAAGAAAATGTTCTGCTTGTTCTTGAGGGGCTGGTCGTCTTTTTTTTTGCTCTAATTTTGATGAATTTTGAGAATAAAGGTTTTTCATAGGTTCTAACTAGATTATTAGGCTTAAATTGAGTAAACTGACATAGTTTAGATGCCCAATGCATAGGGAAAAAGACAAAAACAATCCTAACTTAAAAGCTGACTAGGCCTTTCCACGGAGCCTCTGACGGACCGTCTAAGGGACCACGACCTATCTAATGGGTTGTGGTTCATGGGAGATTGTCTACTGGTTCTGGCACTCCCATCTACGGTCCATTTCACGAACCATGTGAATGACCATGGACCGTGAAGGCCACCATGGTTCTTTACTTGGGGCTAAGGGTCTAGTGGCTCAAGATGACGGACCCATCCACGGCCGTCATTGAGTCCACGACCTGTGGTGGGCTCCGTGGTTTGGTGTGTGAGCCTTGGTGGCTCTGCCTTACTTCTACGAGCCATCCCAAGGCACGTGTGAGGATCCACGACTCGTGGAGGGGTTCGTGGTCCTCCAGAATTTTTTGTTTCGACCCTTTTTTTTGTTGAATTGTCCAAGTATGATTTCTGAGGTGTTACAAGAAGTTTAAGAGAGCGACCACCGTGCAGGCATGCAACAACTCTTTAATGTTTCCGCGCAGATGCGCCGCTGGGCACTTGACTGCGTGGACGGGCAATAGCTTAGCTAATGCACATTTTTATTCTTTTTCTTTCTTTAGCATTCTTGTTGGCCTTTTTCACTAATCATGTTCAACACTTCAATTTGAACACCTGCACATATAAAACATAGACAATTAATTGCAAAGTTCAAATTCAAACTTATCTAAAGTCATCTCATTTAATTACCCATCAGGAAACTTGGTGAAAATGTAATTCATTAACATAATTCAGTGTCATGATTACTTATCTCGGTTACCACAATTATAAATTTCAAGAACTCTAATTTTTTTTAATTCTTTTGTTAAAAAATGTTCAAAAGTTGAGTTTAGCTTCCATTAGGTTGGAACAAAGTTAAATGAAACAACTATATTCAATGAATTTTGAACAAAAATAAAGTATTTAACTAGTTGCAATTCATGCACATATTTTAGCCCCAAAAGATAGTCCAAATGAAAGTGAAAAACAAATAAATAATGTATTAGTTTTTCATGTAGTTTACAGAACTCAAATAATCGAAAGTTGAGTTTAGCTTCCATTAGGTTGGAACAAAGTTAAATGAAACAACTATATTCAATGAATTTTGAACAAAAATAAAGTATTTGACAAGTTGCAATTCATGCACATATTTTAGCCCCAAAAAATAGTCCAAATGAAAGTAAAAAATGAATAAATAATGTATTGGTTTTTCATGTAGTTTATAGAACTCAAATAATCGAATTAGTGAGGATCTTATAAGCACTATAAATGAACACAAACAATTAGTACAAAATTAAGAAGGAAATATTATTTATTATATTACAAAATAAAAAGCTAAATTACAAGTACATAAATTAACCCCAAAAAGACTTGACAAGTTGGAATTTATACACATAATTTAGCCCCCAAAAGTATTACTCCACATAATAGAAACCTAATTTACAGTCCAAACTTAGGCAAAACAACAAAGATATGATCAATCTCAACATCAGAACTACAAGCATGACAATGATTATCTCCCTGTTCATTGTCACTATCAATAATCCAGCCATTCATGCGAACGCTATTCTTATGTTAAATAGTGCGATAACGAATGGGTCTTTATTCCAAAAATAAAGGATTACTGACCCAAATAGCTTGCAAGATTGATATTAAACTCTCCCGCCACTGTTTTGTTATTCTTCTTTGCAGAAATTTTTCTTTCATCTTGCCAATGATTTTGACCCCTTCTAGACTATAATCACCACCCGAGAATATTGAGATTATGACAAGCAGATATGCTGCTCCATTGTGGCCGCCTTGTTCTGTTTTCTATAATATTTTCAATGCAAGCTCCGACCAATAATTGTTGAAAAACTCAATATGAGAAAATAAATACATAACCATTTGTTAAAAAGTCCATATGAATTTTGTGACTATAAAAATAATAACCATCTGAATACATGAAAAAATCTTTAAATTTTGTGACCAAAAATTAAATCAAAGCTTATCAGCTTCCAAATAACCATTTGAATAGATACAAAAAAAATAAGAAAAAAGTATTACACACCTTTTCTGTACAAGGTGTCTGTATTCCCAGCTAGTGTGCACTGGCCAAAGAAAGAATTTCTTTTATTTATGTGCTTTTTAGACCACACATACCAGGAAAAAAAAATGAAAAGTCTACAAGTGATACCTTCTCATATAGGTATTTGTAACTTTTGAGTTGATTAAAAAACTTTGAACTAAAAAAATAATCAGTTAGAAAACATTGATGTAAATAATAGTTTAATAAATATATCGATATATACATACCCGAGTCTCAAATTCATTAAATCAATGAAAGAGATAGAAGCCACCCTTTCAACAATATCAACAAGTATCCCCATGTCAATGGATTCAATGGAAGAACAAAGTCTTTTCATGTTTTTGCCACAAGGAAAATTTTGGGGTTGTGAAAGGGTTTCAGATTTCTTTGTAAAGTGGAGGACTGAGTGGTACTTTACGGAATTCTAAAAGGTTATACTGGGAAAATTAAAAATTACAACTTTCTAAAGTTGTGACACTTGTCTAAATTTTTGACACATTGGCTTCCACTCAAACCCTTTTTTATTTTATTTTACGTAAAAAATAATGCTTCACTTATTAGATTGAAACAAGCAAGGGACTTATAATTTTAATTATTTAACTATTTAAATTTAGTGTTCATGTAATTTGGTAATTGATTAATTTAATAGCTTAAACTTTTTATATATATCCACAAAATAATTTTCATATAAAAAGCATAGAAAATGTAATTCTTAATTCGAGAAATAAAGTAAAAGTTATATTAAATTCACACAATTACTAATGGAAAGCATAGTCAAAAGCGAATATAAATTATGTAATATCCCATTTCTTGTGGATTTGCATTTAATTGTGAAATAACCATTTTGCCCATTCTCTTAGCTTTTTCATTCTTAGTTTGGATTGCGGGAATAGTTGGTGTGGTACCCAATATGATCGGGTGTCTTTTTTTTTTGGTGATTTTGACCCTTTTGAGTTGAGAATTTTTTATATGATTGACTTTTGTCAATATTATGAGTTTCGAGCATTGTATGGAGATTCCATGAGTTTTATTGAGTCTGGAATATCGAGTTTGGTCTAGTAAGGTGATCGGTTAGAGTCCTGAAACCTTAGGTTGTTACTTGGATATTTAGGTAAAAAGTTGAATTTTTGGCCAAACTGGGTTCCGAGTGGTATTTCGGTCATAACTATCTTTTTTTTTTGAAATC